GGTACCCCGGCTGCTGCCTGCGCCCCGGGGAGAGCCAGGGAGGGGACTCTGGGGCAGGGACCGCGGGGACAGGGACTTTAAGCGCCCGCGCCCCTCAGCGGGACCCGCGACACTACCTGCAACGCCCACCCCACCATGCGCACACACAGGCGGGGACCCAGCGCGCCCCCCTCTGGAAAGGCTGAGTGCCAGGACCCTCAGCATTGCCCAGCGCAACTTAGGATGTGTGAGATGGGGTGTGGGTCCCATGGGGTCTGGGCTTCCGAAAACCTTCTGCTTCCTTGGGGTGGGGGTGGGGTAGCCTTGGACACCTCCTGGCTGGGACAGGAGAGAGGCACTGTCGCAGCCACCTCTTAGCTCCCAAAGTCTTAGGGGCAGGGTGCTGAGGTAGAGACCCTGCTGCCCTGACTCCATCTTTGTCTCTCTTCTTCTCAGCCTCTCCACCTGTAAGATGGTGAGTCTTCTCTGGCCCCTCTGGACAAAAAGCCCAAGCCCCTAAGCAGAGGGAGAGCCCAGAGGGCAGCACCTGGCCGTAAAAGCCTAGCCCTGGGACTGCCTGGCAGACAGCTCCAACCCATGACCAGCTGCACACATACGCCTTGACTTCCCACTCTGTGTGCCATGGGACAAGCAGGGGCTGTGTGCCAGGCCCTCCATCTCTCCCCCACCAGCCCTGGGAGGCAGGCACTCTTGGTCCCTTTCGGCATTCATTCATTCTGCAATATTTATATTACCATGCGCCTTGCCATAGTCTAAGTTTGAGGACATAGCAGTGAACCCAGTCTGGACTCTCAGGGAACTCAACTTCTAAGAGAGTGCACCGAAGCTCAGAATTTGGCACTGGCCAAACTGGGGTTCAAGTCCAAGTCAGAGGCCCAGACCTCTGCTCTCCCAGCCGCCTGCAGTATGCTGTCTCCCAATGACTGAGGTGATTCCCTAGGTCCAAGCCTCATCAGCACCATGGGGGCGGACATAACAGGCCCCAGGCACCCACAAGGCTCAAAGAAACCTCATGACTTGTCCAAGGAGGCCAAGCCTGTCCCCCGGAGGACAGGCCCACCCGTGTCCCCGCCTATGTTCACACTGAGCCTCTGAGCAGCCTCATTTGGGAGTCAGCCAGCCTCAGAAAGGGGCAGGGTATAAGATTTCATCCAAAGAAAGCATTTTCATGATTCAGAACATCCTCGGGCCTGCTTGGGGATGATGATGGAACAGATTCACCTACATATTTCGGTCTCAGCAGAACTCCATGATGGTAGATGGGTCACTGAGGCCAGAGAGAAGTGAGCAGCCCAACTGATTGCTTGGTTCATTAGCTTATTTATTCTTCAGTCATCAAACACTGAGTAGCTGCGGTGTGCCAGGCACGTTTTAGGTGCTGGGGCTGCTTCAATAAGCAAAACAGACAAAACCTCTGCCCCTGTGAACCAAGCTGGGACGGACCTGGGCGTGGGATGTGGGGGGTGCAGTGGTCCAGCCAGCAGTGCACTGCTTTCTGCCCCCACCCCCGGGGGCACCACACATACCGTTTACAAAGCACTTCCACCTACATGTCCCTGGTGTCCAGCCTTCATCCTCCAATCCAGCCCCATCCTCTTTGGTTCCGAGGACAGTGTCTACCCAAGGACAGGACAGTAGGGGGCTTATACCCTTGGGTGACTTAATGTGCCTCTTGCTCACCCTGCCCAAGACCCACCACTTCTGCCCCCCTCAGCTCTCCCTGGATCCACTGGGTCCCGAGTGGGACTGCCCCCTGGGCTCCAAGGACCTGGAGGAGGAGGAGGGCCCATGGGGCGGGGGCTCTGGCCTGCCACCCCCAGGCTTCTTCCCTGGTTCCTGGAGCCATGAAGTGGGCCTGGACTGCAAGGGCTCCCCTGAGGGAGCAGAGGCCCGGGCCTGGACTGTCTACTACTACAGCCTCCTGCAGAGCTGTCTGCAGCAAGCTGGCCTTCCGGAGACTCAGGACCGCAGCCAGGTGCCCCGCACAGGTGCCCAAGGGCTCCGTGGAGGGGGGCATCCCTGGGGAGGAGGGAGGCACCCTCAGCCCAGCCTGCTTTCCAGCTCTGTCAAAGTCAGCCCCTTCCCCCAGGCTCTGGCTCAATCTGAAGCCAGGGAGGCAAGGCCAGTCAACCTCAGGCAGGCAGGCATTTCAAAGGGCATCTGGCACCAGTAAAGTCAGATATCAAGGCTCCCCTCCCACCTCCAGAAGATCCAGCCCTGGGATTTGCAATCCATGTTCTGTGGAGCCAAAGCTTCTACAGAAATATCTTGGGAGCTGCTGTGGAGCCAGCTAGCAGTTGGGATCCAAAACTCCTCCCTTGTTTTATCTGTTTTATGTACCAGGTAGCCACAGAAGATTTTGTGTGGACAGAAGGTTTACAGCTAGAATACATGACCATCTCAGACTTTGCCCCCTTCTACAGATGGGGAAACTGAGGTGCAGAGACTCCTCTCTCCACTGCACAGGGTGCACAGGGACCAAGGGTCACACAGAAAGTCAGTGGCAGAGCTCAGGCTAGAACCCAGGTCTCCAGTCACCCAGCCTTCATGCCTTCTGGACCAGCCACAGAGAGAAAGGAGCCAGCCTCTCGGGGCAGGGGTGGGCAGACAGCTTCCCCCTCCCTCCCCAGCCTTCTCTGTCCCCTTTCTCTTTTCGTCCCATACCCAGGAAGGACCTGGGGGCCCAAGGGTATGGGCAGGCCTAGGGGGGTGGGGAAAGGTGGGCAGAAAGACAGCAAGGGGAGCCCCTGGTGAGCTTGGCAATGTTCTCTTCCCTGAGGCTGCCCTGGGGCGGAGGTGACCTTGTGCATTCTGGGATCCCCCTGCACCTTTCTGTCCGTGCTGCTGGAGGGTGGGGTCCAGAGCCCGGGTGAGTGTGTTCCCAAGTTCCCCCACCCCCTCCTACAGAAAGGGCAGTCCTGCCCTGGCCCGGCCACATCCCAAAATACCCGCCGACCCTGGCAACTGCCTGCATTCCACCACACCAGCTGCCCTGCTTTGAGTGGGGGTGGGTTCTGGCAGCAGCTGCCCACTACGACCCAGGGGCCCAGGCTGGAGGTGGAGGGCATGGGGCATTAAGCCTTCCCTGGCCAGCAACCCTCCTCCCTCTGCCCACAGGAAACATGCTCCTTTGCCTGTCCCCTGCTTGGCTGACAAAGGTGCCAGCACCAGGGCAGCCCGGTGAGGCAGCCCTGCTGGTCTCCAAGGCTGTGAGCTTCCACCCGGGGGGCCTGACATTCCTGGATGACTTTGTCCCCCCGCGCCGGGCCACCTACTTCCTGGCGGGCCTGGGGCTGGGGCCTGGCCCTGGTCGAGAGGCAGCTGAGCTCGCCCGCGACCTGACCTGCCCCACAGGAGCCTCAGCTGAGCTGGCCCGGCTGCTGGAGGACCGGCTGCTGACAAGGCGATTGCTGGCTCAGCAGGGTGACGTGGCCGTGCCAGCTACCCTGGCTTTCACCTACAAGCCACCAGCACTGCTGCGGGGAGGGGATGCCAGCCCGGGACTACGGCTGGTGGAGCTGAATGGCAAAGAGGGCCAGGAGACACTGGTGAAGGAGGAAGTAGGGGCCTTCCTGCACTCCAAGGCCCTGGGTGATGCCCTGCAGGTAACAGGCTACTGCCCCTGAGGCTGTACAGATGCCAGCAGGATGGGAGCCATGGATGGTTACCAAGTCCTGCTGGGAAAGTGTCCCCAGCTTTGAGCCCTGCCACTGCCCCATCTCTCTGTAGCAGTCACCTGCCTTACCTCAGTCTGTTCATGAGCTCCTATGGTCTGCGTGTCCCATCTTGCAGGTACATGGCGTGGTGAGGATGCCCCCTTCCCCTCCCTGTTGCAGGTAGCCGTGAAGCTCAGTGGCTGGCGCTGGCGGGGACGGCAGGCTTTGCGTCTGTACCCACGAACAGAGCTGGACCCAGTGGTGGACACAGTGCTGGCACTGCTGGAGAAACTGGAGGAGGAGGAGAGTGTCCTGGTTGAGGCTGTGTGCCCACCTGCCCGACTCCCCTTCCCAGGTGAGAGCCACCTGGGCTGGCCAAGGGTGGAGCTTGGCCTGGCCTTCTGGCTACTCAGTGCTGGGCTCAGGCCTCACTGTCTTTCCCCAGGTAGTCCCCTACCTGGCCCTGAGCTGGCTCTGCGTATCTGTGCTGTGGTGTGTCGGACACAGGGTGACAGGCCCCTGCTGAGCAAGGTGAGCATGGCTCAGGTTCAGGTCATGATCCTACTGCCACACCCCAGCCCATCTCCACTGGGCCGATGGGGGGGCCCCAGGGCAGAGAGAGGACAAAATCTTTGCGGGCATTTTGTTGCCTCCAGGAGAACTGAGTCTGACACTTTCCCTCCTCTCCAACCCTGTACCCCTCCCACATCAGGAGCTCTACCTGGTATCCTGCGCTGAGTACAAGGACCCAGGGCTGAATTCTCTTTCTAGGGAGCTCTTGCCCAAGAAGAGGCTGACCCAAGGTCCTTGATAAACCTCCAGTGCCTGGAGCCCTGTAGGAGGGCCCTCCAAGTTGGGAGGTCAGGGAGGCTTGGGTTCCCTTCCTGGGGACATATCTCTGTGCCAAGCAGAGAGAGGAGCTCTAGGGCTGGGGCCCACCAGGGTGGCACAGGCCCCCAGGGCTGCAGGAACTAGAAGCAAGCATGCTTGGAGACCTTAGGGAGCAGAGACCCCAACTGGGCCTGGAAGCTTGGCTAGAATCCCCCTAGTGGTCTAGAGACCAGATGAGTAGTTTACGCAGTAAGTCGCACTGGAGGACAGGACTTCGTGAATGTCCACTGAGGGGTGTGGCCTGAATCGTGGCACAGGGGAAGGTGTGTTGGGGGCCGGGGGTAGTCCCGAGAGGACTCTTCTTGGACAAGCCCCCTGAGCCACACCCTGCCCAGGTGGTATGCGGAGTGGGCCGTGGGGACCGGCCTCTGCGGCACCAGAACTCCTTGCCACGTACGCTGGAAG